TTCCCCCCCGCTCTTTCCCGAGGAGACCTTTCTGCCTGCGCCGTGGTGGCGTGTCCAAATGTGGCCTGCAGCTTCCGCAGGCTGAGCATGGGAGCCTCCGGTGCTCTCCTCGGTGGTGGCAGATACGCCCCGGGCCAAGGAAGATGGCTGCTGGCTCCTGAGCAGGGCTGTGTGTCACAGGCCCGAAGGCTGCATAGTTCGAGGGTGCTGGTGAGAAGGAGTTGAAGAGGGTGAGGTTGTTTCAGTGGTGGTTAGAAAGTGCATAAATCTGAACAGATGCAGGCAAGGCTCTGGTAGCAACCACTCTAAGGAGAAAAAGAGAAGAGAATAGAGATTATTAGTTTAACTCGTGTGTTGTTCCAAGCCTTCCAGTAGATGGAATTAGCCAGGATTACAGAAGGATAATCTCAGATGACTGGAAAACGGCAAACAGGAGTGCGTGCATATGAAGAAAGATCTTTCAAAAGAGGCTGAAGGTTCCCGAGTTCGTGGAGGTTTGGTGACGCGCTGCGTGTGCCGTCCCGCTGGGTGGTGAGCGAGCAGCTGCGCAGCCCCCCATGTGCATGGACCTGTCGGCGGGGTCTGCCTGCCTTGCAGCCCTGGTGGCATAGGTGCGGGCAGGGTTGAGGCTGCAGGCGAGGGCCAGCTGCCAGCAATTCACGCTGGGGCCTGTGATACAAACGTGGTGAGGTTTTTATTTTGCAGGGGGGCCTGGGGATTGTCGCTGCGTCCTCCGCTCTCGGAGCGACGCGTGTGTCTGGTCTCGACCGTGATCCCTGTGGCTGAAACCCTATCCCTAGGCAGCATCTGTGCGTAGGATAGCTGCAAACGGGAAGAGGTAAAGGAGAAATTTTTGCTTTGATCTTCATCGTTTGGGACATCCTTTTCAAGGCAGAAGTATGGTTCATGTGCTGAGCACATGCTGGGTTTTGCTTTGTCTGCTGGCAAGTTGCCGGTTAAGGAGATGTGAGCATGAGGGCTGAGGGGAAGACACCAAGTGGAGATCAAAGAGAGACCAAAGGTAGCATTTGGGGGAGATCAGGATAAACCAAAAGTGGTGTTTGGGACGGATTGGGAGAGATTTATTTTTTTTAAAGCCATTCCACTGGGGATCAGCTGTCTGAAGGCTGAGAACGTTTTTGTTGTGGGGGTATTCAGCGCCGATGCCCCCCCCACGACTCCTCCACCAGCTGCCAGGAAGCCTCCTCCCATCCGTGCCTCTTCCCCTGCCGACAGCATGCCG